CACTAAAGTAGTTCAGCCCTACAAATTAAACAAGGTGTACATTTCATATTCAAGTCAAAGAAACGTAGAAATTATTCAGCTGTAAACAAGGCTGATATGTCCAGCGCAAAACATTGACACGTTTCACAATCAAAGTCACACAAAACAACCACTGAACAGGCCGGGTGGTTACAGGGGAGAATGTAAGTCTTCTATAAAGTCTGCTATAAGATGAACGATCCGAAATGTGAAGTCGTCATCAGGACTCCAAACACGGAAGGTTTCTATACATAAAATACACTCCGGATCCTACCATAATTGTATATGATACCTGTCAACGCTCCTGTTTAAAAGTGTGCCCTAAATAAAAGCACGTATGAACTCACCGTTTTGGGAGTCTGTTATCGCTGGTGGAGAGGAGAGCAGTTGTTCTCAGTGGTCCGGGGTACGGCCACGCGGGTACGGCCTCGTCTGCGGGCTCATCTCGTCTAACAGTAGAAGCGTTAGTTGAATACGTTCAGGGGTCCAGTTTTAAGTATTGTTGATACGGCAAATGAGCTCTAATAAGTCAAATAGTTTGTCAGTTGGTACAACGAAAGTTTAGTACGTCCTCGCGGGTAGCTGGCGGCCGACTGAATGAATGTATGGAGCCTCGTGCACGGACCACCCAGAGGTGGTGGTGGTGGTCAGTCAGACAGATAGGTTTGTTGCTATGGCAACTGTCGCGACGGACTTACTGGGAAATAGTCTCCCTTCCGGTTTACAACAAAAACCCTAGGCTATTTTGCAGGGCAAAGGGCCTTTAGCTTCCAAACTCACGGAATGACAGAAAAGCATGTGCCATCCTACATGTCCTACAGTTTTGGAAAAAGGTGATATGTAAATATTAAAAAAAAAAGAGAGAATAGCTAGTCTTCTGCACGATTATCTTATGAAAGAATGTTTTATACAAAGTCATCTTAGTTTGCTTGTGAGAGAGGTATAACCATATTTTATTTCATTTACTGTATCATAATGTTGTGTAGCGTGTTCATTTTTTTCTCTACAACTATGCCCTGAACATCTGCTTGGAGATTTCGCACACAGTAAAATCCGACCAATACAATTTCCAAGTAGATACAGGGACCTAATGTTTGTTTTACTAATTTTTCAGTAAGTCTGTAAGCATTCACTCGAATATCAAACAATGGAACAGATACAGAGAAAGGGACAACCCCAACTATACCCACGAACATCTGCTTGGAGACTTCGTAAACAGTAAGATCCGACCGACGCAATCTCCAAGCAGATACAGGGACAAAATGTTTCTAGTAATTCTGTGTAAAAAATCATCTGAAGATCAAACAATGGAACATATACAGAGAAAGGGACAACCCCAACTATACCCTCCCCCGAACATCTGCTTGGAGACCTCGTAAACAGTAAGATCCGACCGACACAATCTCCAAGCAGATACATGGACCGAATGTTTCTAGTAATTTTGTGTAAAAATCATATGAAGATCAAACAATGGAGCAGATACAGAGAAAGGGACAACCCCAACTATACCCTCCCCCCGAACATCTGCTTGGAGACCTCGTAAACAGTAAGATCCGACCGACGCAATCTCCAAGCAGATACATGGAACAGATTTTCTAGTAATTCTGTGTAAAAATCATCTGAAGATCAAACAATGGAACAGATATAGAGAAAGGGACAACCCCAACTATACCCTCCCCCGAACATCTGCTTGGAGACCTCGTAAACAGGAAGATCCGACCGACACAATCACCAAGCAGATACATGGAACGGATTTTCTAGTAATTCTTTGTAAAAAAAATCATCAATGGAGCCATATTATATTCCAACGTTATCTCAACGGGCGCGACCTACTCATAGTAATTGTTATCCTTTACCCAGACTAACCGGAGTATCTACTAGGGATGTGTATATGACGATATTTATGTTACCGACAGTTTAGAAATTATTTGTGTCTGTGGCGTTCCGAGCGGAGCATTGACTGTGTTGTACCGAAGTAGGCCGTGCAAAGTAACGGTCTCCGCTCTCGGCCACGATCGTATCATAGTTTGTATACCTATATTTTCGTCATGTATCCAGGGAAATCACCAATAATTCGTTTATTCAGTGACCCATAGCGTAAATACTGCAATGTGCATTGAAATGTTATCCGGGAAACCTCTCAGTAAGTGTCGCCAGAGGACACGGGCACTGATGAGACTGCGATGCCGGTTACGTTACTACACGGTGTCCAGACCCGACATTCACCGTACGGGTCGGGGTATCGCTTGTCGGTGCAAGGATACTGCCCGTAAATTATATACACTATTGTATACACTACTATACAATGCCATACTTGTTGCTCTGAATGTGTGGGGGGCAATGGGCCTTAGATATTGAAGTATTACGCAGCGGAGCTCTCCGCGATGTGAACACCACGAAGGTTTACGTCAGACTGAGCTCCGGTTGTTTACGTTACGCCTTTTATCGGGCCAGGTCACCGTTAGTTATATAGTGCAATCTAACACAATAAACAGAAGAGACATTTCTTGTTTGGCGAGATATGCAACCTTTTATTCTGTTGTATCACAAACCATAGTATCAACACGTGCGAGGCATGATGTAGGATAGAGATTGTCTCAA